TTATTGGAAAGGCTGCCCTGTCCCTGCAGCTCTCCGGCACCCCTGTGTTATAAATGAAGTGTCCGTGTGTGTGTGTGTGTGTGTGTGTGTGTGTGCACGTGCACGCGCGTGTCTGAGTCTTGGCTCTGCTTTCTATCCCACTGGGCCCACTCGTCCAGCTTGCGCCAGCACCACACTCTCCCAGTTGCAGAAAGTATTTTTTTTTTCATTAAATTTTTATTTTGTCAATATACAATGTATATGATTATTATGGCCCATCACCGACACCTCCCTCCCTCCTCCCTCTCTCCCCTCCCCCCCAAGAATGTCCTTTCCGTTTGCTTGTTGTAAACCAAGTTTATGAAACAAATGGCACAATTAAAATAAAGAAGCTCTTTTTTAAAAAAGCAATTTAAGATCAAGGGAAATAAAAGAGAAGCAGGAAGCCAGAATCTTAGGGAACTGAGTAAAGGGGCCAGAATGTAAGGGGCCAGGGGCTCAAAGCCCATTTCACTTAGGTTTTGAGGTCCCTGCTTCTTAGGTCAGTCCTGGGGGCCAACCTGCACTTCTTTGGGTCGGAGGCTTGGTCTGGAGTGTGTGTCGGGAAGAAGCACTGACGGCTGGCCTCATACTTCACCGGGGATGAGGGATTTAATGTGGCTCCTCCTTTCTCTCAGCCCCAGGATGCCCAGCCAAGCCTACCGTCTTCATGCCTTCGGCCTGTTTCCCCCAAAGCTGAACCCACTGCCCCCCACTCTGGTTGTCCCTGTGTTGCTTCGTGGCCTAGAGATGTCACCGACCCAGCACCCAGGACAGCTGGGAGCCTCAGCCATAGAGAAAAAGGAGGTGGTGGTAAAAGAGAGCCCTGCTGGGGAGAGGCAAGCCTAGGGCTGCTGCTTTTTCATGTAAGTAATGAAGACGGTCATGTTATATGTGGTGTCAGGGAAAGCAGTTGATTTTACCATCAATAATCGAAGCTAATTCCTGACGAAGAGAAAAGATGTCAAGATGTGGTTTGGCTGAGCAGAGGCATTACTAATTACAGACACCGGCTCAGCTGTTTGTAGCAAAACAACACGTGTGGCCCATTGCACGGGAGTCAGCTTAAGTTTGTTGTACTTGAAAACGGTAACTCAGCTTTCAAAACATGTTCTTTGTTTATATTGAGGTCACCACTTAAATATGAGAGATCTTAAGTCAGAACTCCTCCTTATGAGACTTTTATTAATGCCAAGAATGAAACAGTAAAAACAAACCAAATTTGAAAACTCAGTGTGATTGTGGGCACAGGCATCGTATAAACAGGGACTAAGGAGACCATAACAGGAGAAAACCAGTCCTGACGGGAGCCTTCGGTCTGTACTGGGACCTAAAGGCCACGATTCAGCCGATCCTTGCTCCACAGTGAAGTGGCCTGTACAGCGACCCCCCACTAGGTCGTTTCTTGCCTTTATCACCAGGCTGTGTGATAGGCCTTGGGGCTTCTCCCTGGGTTTGTGGCCTTTTGGACTTGCAGGCTTGAGACACTCCAGTCCCCCGTCCTGCACTGAACAACCCCTGATCTGGAAGAATTTCCTAATGAAATGAGACAGAAGAAAACAAAACAAAAAGGAACCACAGGAAACAACATGGGATTAATTGCTGCACTGTTACATTGATTACCAAATCTTTCAGGAAGGTGTCCACTGCACAGCGTACAGACATGCCATGTGCACTTGACTTGGAATGGTCTCTGGGATCATTTCTGTAACAAGCATCAGGCCCTTGGTCAGAAACATAGCCCTCTCTCATATACACATCGACCGTCTCCTCCAGAGCACAAGATTTGGCAGGCAGTGTTTTGACTTACGGTGCCTTTCTCAGGAGCATATGCTGCTGTCAGCTCAAAAACTACCTGTACTTTGCTTCCCTGAATCATTATGCTTTTGCACAGCCATCCTTTAGCAGTCTGATCAAAGCAAAACACAATCGCATGCACCCTGGAAATGAGGGGTGAAGTCACCTTTTTAAAACTTAATTTTTTTTTCTAACGCCTATCGCCTTCCATACCTTTGACATAGAGAGTGGCTGTGCATAGCATTCCTGTTTTTAATTAATCACATCCAGACAGGTCACACTACTCATGCATGGAAATGTCGTGTAGAAACAGATTTCTTTTGTTGGTCAACTGAATGATATTTCACTACTGACATAAGTTCAGCTGTACTTTCTTTCCTATCTTCAATCCAGTGTGGTTCTTGACACCTAGCGCCACAGTTTTTCTGCACCAGCCTTTGTCAGGTAATCGATGATCCAAACAGAAGTGCCCCACATATGGGGAAGCTGCCGTCTATGGAAACTGACAGCCTGCAGCCCTGGTTTCTTGCCTGAGACTCTGTGACTCTTTGTTGTTGCAAACAACATAGGGAAGAAAGCAGGTCCTTGCAGGCTCTGGTCTGCGTGTCATGACACGGGGCTTGCTGTGGGGTGCAGATAGCAGGAGCCTTCTCCTTGCTCCATCCAGACTCACTAAGAACCCTTGAATTTGGTTAAAGTAGTTGGCAATTTGCCCCCACTTTTCCTCAGGAAGAAAATGTCACCAGAACCTGCTGCTTTGGAAATCAAAATAAGTTCTTATACAGTCTGAAAAACCAAGACTTTGGCATTTACTTACCTTTGGGGTGATGTGAAACCTTGAAACCCTGTAGCAAAGCCTACAACTGCCCCAACTACACTGACTGGCAAAGACATGCCTGCCTACTTGATACATCCTTGTATATAAGACACAGTGCCAGTCAGAATGGTGAACCAGTATCTGCTTAGTTCCCAGTTGTTCAGACATGTCTTCTGGCTATAGGTGCTAAGGGAAAAACTGGCCAGGAAACCTGAGAGTGAAACTCAGTTTTTTGTTTTTGTTTCTTTTGTTTTGTTTTTCCTGGCCATTTCTCTCCATCTCTCAAAAGCTTGGGTCCGTCATAGGATAACCAGGGATGACTTATGCCTTCCCTGAGGTAGTAAAACTTCCTCTGCTTGCGTTAACTAGTTCACAGGGAAACACACTGAATAGGGGACCATGTGATCCAAGGGTGGATTTCAGACTGACCATCAGGAGGTATTTCTAATTGTAGTTATTGACAATGTTAGAGTTCCAGTTGAACATCGCACAAAGAAATCCTCGCTTGACATGCATTCCTGTCAGGTATCAAAGCACCTGCTTTGATCAAAGCATCCCTATGAAAGGGAGAAAGGATAATGACTCATCTTGTGTCCGCAGGTGTTTCCCACATGTCTCCAAGGTTGACCCAATTCACCAACTTTGTTAAAATCCTAAGAGGAAGTGTGAGATAGTGGGATGAGCCTGCAACTGGCAGCCTGGACAACTCTATTCTAAGCGTGACTCTGTGTCTCAGCTCTGAGAGTGACCTTGACTGAAGTGTTCCCTCCCCTGGTTCTCGGTTTTCCTTTCTTCAAAGTGGGAGCAACGGTCTCTGCCGTGCCTAGCTTCTAAAGTCTTTTAGGGGAAGAGATGAAATGATGCATGTGAAAGCATGCTGGGAAAAGGTCAACAGCAATGGATACCTGGCTACAGGTAGCTGCTTAACTATCATGTCCTTAGAGCCAGCAGTGTCATCTGATACGCTCATTGCCCCTGTCACTTGAATTGTCTTTCTTGTCTTGGAAATAATGAGTGCAGGTTCTGCCGCCATTGCAGGGCTTGATCTCCTCAACTGTGTCTTCAGGGGCTGGGACAAGATGATGTCCAGAGGCCCCTTTGCTAGGATTATTTATGATTCCAATCAAAGGACAAGAGAGAGGTCAGAATTTCACGTCCTGGAGTCAAACGATGTCAATGTTGGTAGCAATACTGCAATCTTTGCTCCAAATAGTTTGTTGGTGACATCTTTAACAGAACTTTTGGGAAAAATGTTCTCCCAAGTCCTATTTTTATTGTTCTTACCCTGCCTGAATGAATGGAGATTTTTACACCCCAGTCCATGGCTGTGGAATCCTCCATCTTGGCCTCTTGTGACTGTGGAGCCAACTGCAAGCATCCCTGAGGCTCCAGCGGGGCTTGAGCGCACAGGCTGGACTCCCTCAGAACCCCCTCTGGGAGGAAACTGCTCCCTTCTTCACTCTATTCAATGCATAAACAGGTCTTCTCTCCTAAAGGGTCTTGCCAGGACCATGGAAACTACACATTTTGTCTTGGTTTTGACTGGGTTGACCACTGGTGTGTTTTTAGCAGGAAAAAACTCAAACTCCAACTGAGCCCCAAACTTCCTTGTTTCACACACGGCCCGACGCCACACCCGTCACACTTTGGATTGCCTCTCATCCGTCCACTCCTGCTTTGTGCTCTGGAGAGCCTGCGTCTTCTGCTCGTCCACTAGGACATAGTCTACTCTATGGTCTTCTGAAAGAAATTTCTGAAGGGGGAGAACAAAAAAGGTTTCATCACATGTAATTTTTAAATTCAGAAGCATGTCTACCCTTCTGTGGTAGACTGCACTGTTGTTAAATACTTGCTGCCCCTTCCTCCCTGCAGACGCATCCTAGTGTGTGTCTGCACATGCGCACGTATGTGTGTATGTGCAAACATCTCTTAGCCTCTGCTCCCCTCAACTTTGCTCTAGCCACTTGACTTGCTTTGACCAATAATATGTGAAGGGAAGTGACATGTGCCAGTCTGGAGGAGACAAGAGGCATCCTGTGATTCTGCAACCTCTCTTTTTCCTCTGCCAGGAGGCCAGCATGCCTCGCATGGAGGCTGCTCCTTCTGCCTGGGCCTACCATGGACTGCCTCACAAGTGACAACTGACAGAGCCTTTGTTGCTGTAGGTACGTGACATTTGGGAGCTGTTTGTTTTAAGTGCACAGTCCATCAAACCTGACTGATGCTCCTTTTGCACCTGTTGCTCCACCCTTCTGACCACCTTTTCTTGGGCCTCAGTTCAGGGTTTTGGAATGATATTAAAGGCAGAGGAGAAGTATAAGTTAATTCAGCCAAAGCGGAGGGAATTCTTCTAGAGCTTTTTCTACACACACCACACGCACGTGGGACAACACTGCCCATTCTGTTCACTGAGCTGCTTTTATTCACCAAACAATGCATTGTTAGGCACAGTCTAAATGATGACCATCCCTTGCTCAAAAATATTTAGTTGTTGTCCAATGCTTACTATTCATTCATGCCTGTGCCTTACACTGTGCAGTGGGTGATACCAATTAACGGCCAGGATTGCTTACTTGTACTAGCTCAATTCATTCTTGCAACAGCCCTCGATGTAGGTGTTATTATTTCCGATCCTCACTTTGCAGATGAGAACACTACACAAGGGAGTCAAAACTATCCAGCCTGGCCATTGAGGCCCTTTACTGAGGGGTTCCACTTCCAATTTAGAGCTCCTTTCACCTAACTAGGCTGTTACTTGCTCCCTAAACAGGACCTTCCAATGCCCGGAAAGCCCTCTACCCCACCCTCATCTCGGCCTCAGAAATTTTCCTGTAAAATTTATATTTCAGATTTTGAAGAGCATGAATATAACATCTACTTATATATATATACACACACAAAGAACACACCCTACAAGGAAGTATACCAGGATTTCATTCTCTCTGGGTGGCAGGATTAGGGCTGATTTTAATATTCTTCATTATACACATCTGTATTATTAAGGTCTTCTAAAAAGAACATACATGGTTTGATGATCAGAAAAGTGTGAGCAGAAATGGAATTACCTGGCAACTCTCAGACACAAAGTCCTTCCTACCTGCTGTACGGGTGCTGGTGACACTGAATTGAAATCCAGAGCCAAATAATCCAGGCTGAATTTCTTTGTCCGCATAAGAGCACCACTGCCCAGGGAGTTGGCTGTACGGTGCTCTTCCTAGGAACCAATATCAAAAGGCTCAGGTTAATGATGTCTAGTCAGGCTGCCCAAGGGAAGGAGGGCTAGTGGTGGCTCCACCCAAGCAGCTGCCATCAGATTGCAGCAGAGTGGTCTGATGAGACCTGAGCAGATCAGCCTGCGTATCTGAGTGACAGCTGGCATTTCAGACACAGTACAGCCCGTTGGGCCATCACTAAGGAAACCACACCATTATTCACCATGGAAAGGGTTTGCCAAAATTCCCTCAAGAAAGAATTTGCTTTATGGATCTGACAGGCCCATGATACTTTAGAGATCAAATCTGGAAAAGATCAACTACACCAATTAAAGTTCTAGTAAAAGCATCCCAAAAACATTTAAAGATACTTTACACAGTACAATCAGATGGTTATAACATAGGTGAAACTCACCACCAGCTTAAGAAGTAGAATGCTACCAATACCTCTGAAGCTACTGTTTCCCCTCTACCATCTCCTCTTCTACCATCACCCCGCAAGAAGTGAATCACTACTTTGAATTTTGTGTTTACCACTCCTTTTCTTTTTAAACTAATCATGTTAAGTGAAATAAGTCAGGCATAGAAAGAGAAATACTGCATGTTCTCACTTATAAGTGGGTGCTAAGAAAGAAGGAGGGAGGGAGGGAGGGCGGGAGGGAAGGAGGAAATATGACACCACCAAAGAATAAGCAATTCTCAAATACCAGACCCCAAACAGCAGGAAACCTTTGAAATGTCTGAAAAGAAATTCTGAGCAACTATCTTAAGGAAACTCAGTGAGATACAAGAAGACAGGAAGGAAGGAAGGAAGGAAGGAAGGAAGGAAGGAAGGAAGGAAGGAAGGAAGGAAGGAAGGAAGGAAAGAGAGAGAGAGAAGGAAAGAAAGGAAGGAAGGAAGAAAGAAAGAAACAAAGAAAGAAAAGACGACAATAATACATTGAAATTGCAGAAGGAGAGAACAAATCTATGTTTACTAGAGGTGGAAGGGGGAGGGATGGGAGGTTGAGGAGAGATTGAGTAAGGGGCATAAAGAATAATCACAATTTATGGGGTCCTAGGCAGGAGCCAAGGGCAGCTCCCTGTGCTTGGAAGCAGGTAAGAAACATAGCATACCCAGGGAACTAGGCAAGAGCTGAGGGCAGCCCCCTCTGCCTCGAAGCAGGCAAGAAACAGAACATGCACAGGGTCCTAGGCAGGAACCTAGGGCAACATCTCCCACCTGGAAGCAGACAAGGAGCATGGCAAAAACACCACTTCCACATGGGTGGCCTCCCACAGCCACTGCAACAGCCATGGCTGCTGCAAAAGCAGCTCAGCACCACAGCAGTATCCTCAGCCACCATGCAGGTAACCCATCAGACTCTCAACTGCAGTGACACAAGGAGAGTCACCAGTGGAGACCAGAAAAAGAGGAGGACATTTCTCTCCTCAAAGCCCACTCCAGAGTGATAGAAGGAGCCACTGCTCTACCAGATGACCAAACATCAGTGTAGAGATACTAGAAATATGAAAATCCAAGAAAATATGACACCACCAAAATAATAGAGTAATTCTCAAATACCAGATCATACATAGCAGGAAACCCTTGAAAAGGCAGAAAAGGAATTCCAAACAACAATCTTAAGGAAACTCACTGAGATATGAGAAGACCCAGTTAAACAACACAATGAAAAGAGAAAAAAAAAAATCCAGGATACAAAGGATGAAATTTACAAAGACATTAATACCTTAAAAAAGAATGTAGCAGGGGAACTCGGGTGTCAGCCATGCCCCCGTGACACCTGCAACCAGCCCAGGCACAATGGAACCACCACTGGAAGCCCCCTTGTCTCCTCTGCAGGAATGAGGGGGGTGCCACGGGCCTCAACCATGCCCCCCTCCTTCCTCTATCTCCCACCCTATTTTCTTCCCCATTCCCCTCTATCCCTCCCCCCAATTGCTCTGCAACATCTTAAAATGCAAAAAATAATAATATTAAAAAATAAATAAACTTAAAATAAAGAATGTAGCAGAACTCATGGAACTGAAAGATTCACTCAACAACATAAAAAACACAACCAAGAGCTTCAGCAGCAGGCTAGAACAAGCAGAAGGAAGAATTTCTGATGTCTTTTTGAACTAACCTAGGCTGACAAAAAAAAGAATTTTAAAAAGTGAAGAAAATTTAAGAGAGATAGTAGACAACTTAAAGCACACAAACATTCAAATCATGGGTACTCCAGAAAGGGAGGAGAAAGGAAAAGGCATGGAAAACCTATTCAATGAAATAATAACAGAAAACTTCCCAGGTATAGGGAGAGACATGGACATTCAGATCCAAGATGCTCAAAGATCCCCAGACAGATTCAATCCCAAAAAGATCCTCTCCAAGGCACCTTATAGTCAAACTGGCAAAGCTCAAAGAAAAAGAGAGAATCTTAAAAGAAGCAAGAGAAAAGTGTCAAGTCACCTATAAGAGAGCCCCTATCAAATGGCAGACTTCTCAAAAGAAACTCTACAGGCCAGAAGAAAATGGGATGATGTATTCAAAATGCTGAAAGAAAAAATCTGCCAACCAAGAATACTATACCCAGCAAAGCTGCCCTTCAGAAACAAAGGAGAAATAGTGTATTTTCCAGACAAACAAAAACTGCAGGAATTCACCACCACATGACCAGTCCTGCAAGAAATCCAAGGGAGTCCTGAATCAGGAATCTGAAAAATGATAATCACTCATCTTATTAGCTATAGTTCTGTTCAAACTCTCTATTTTTCATAATTCAGTCTTGGTCCTGATTTTAGAACTCAAGGTCACAAATATTTTTCCTATATCTTCTTCTAGAAGACTTATAGTTTTAGGCCTTACATCTAGTTTTATGATCCATTGTGAGTTAATTTTTTTATATGACATCAAGTACAGATTAAGATTCTTTTTCTTTTCTTTCTTTTATTTTTTTGCATATGGGCATCCAAATGTTCCATGTTCTAGCACTATCTGTTGAATAGACTCTTCTTTCTCTATTGAATTTTGTTTGGATATTGGTTGAAAATCAATTGACCATGTGCATGTGGGTCTATTTCTGGACTCCGTTCTGTAGCTCTATGTGCCTATCCTTATCCCTAAAAAAAAAAATTACTATTTGTAATAATGAATATACTAATAATATTGATTTGATCATCACATGTTGTACGCAGGTGATGGTAGTCAATGCTGTACCCAAAAAATGTGTGTAATCAATTATGCTTCAATAAAAAAAAAATAAGTTAAAAAATTTTTAAATTAAAAAAAAAGGAGTATGCAAGAATCCTTAAGTAACATACTCTTTAGTTTTGCCTGTTTTTGCACGTCATATCAACAAAATTATATCACAGTATTTTCGGTAGCTTCAAATTTTGCCCAGTATTATGTACTTCACATTCACTCATGTTGATGCATTAGCCCCATTTCACTCATTTTCACTAGGAAAGATTACATTGCATGATTTATTTAGCCTCTCTGCCACCAGAGGACATTTGAGTTGCTCCCAATTTGGGAACTATTGCAGGCAATGCTGCCATGAACATTTGTGCACATGTGGGAGAATTTCTATGGCGCTTACCGGAGGATAGAATCATTGGGTTACAGGATGTGAACATCTCCAACCTATACACGTACCAGGAATGTATAAGAGCTCCTATCGTTCCCATCCTGACCAACATACTTTTTAACATTTTTCTGACCTGAGACATGTAAACTGGTGTCTTAGCATGGTTTGATTTTTCCATTCCCCTGGTTATCAATTAGCTTGGGCACCTTTATATACACTGAAGGGTCATTTTTTTCCTCCTCTATGAATTGCTTGTTCGGGCTTTTTGTTTTGTTTTGTTTCTGGTTAATTTTTGTACTAAAGTTATTTGTATTTTTCTTATTTATCTTGAGTACTTCCTCATATATCCTGGAGAGTAACCATTTCTTGGTTACATATGTCACAGACAGCTCATCACAGTCTGTGGCCTGTGTTTCCTTTTCTTTTTATGGTATTTCTCCTAATGAAGAGAAGTTCTCGCTTTTAACGTGATATGTCAATCTTTTCCCATATGGCTTGCACTTGCATTTTGTTTAAGGAACACTTCCCTATGCTAAGGTCATCATCACCCTATATTTTCTCCTAAAATTATACAGTTTTGCCTTTCACATTTAAGTAATAATCTCTCTTGAACTGATTTTAATGCATGGTGGTGATACAATTCACTTCCCTCTCTTTTTGTTGTTGTTACCCCACATGGATAATCATCCTTTCCCCAGTGATGCAACCTCTATTCACAGATCAAGCTCCCACATGTGTCTGGGTCTGTTTCTTGGCTCCCCGTTCTATTCTTTTGGTACATAGGTCTTCCCCCTGCAGCAGGACTACTCTGTACTGACTATTGCAGTTGTTAATGAGTCTTGATATTCAAAATTACCCAAAAATCTGTAAGGGATTTGGTAAGAGAACATCTTTATATTTGAGTCTTCCTGTTCAGGAACATGGTCAACTACCTTTCTGTTTATTTAGGTCTCCTTAATGTCTGTCAATAAAGTTTTAATAATTTTCTCCATAACATTTTTACTGATCTTTTGTTAGATTTATCCCTAAATTTCTAGAGTTTGTTGTTACTGTAAATGGTAGGTTTTGCTTGTATTCCATTTTCTGTTTGTTACCACTGTATACACATTCAACTGACTTTTGTGCACTGATTTTATATCCACCAACCTTGATACCATCTTTTATTAGTTCTAATTATTTATTGTATTAATTAATTTATTGATTCTAACTATTTCTAAGAAGACTATTTTGGGTTTTTTGGGGGGTAGACAACCACTTCATCTATAAATTATCACTGTTTGTCTTCTTCCTTCCTTCTAATTCTTATTCCTTTTGTTTCTTTAATTGGTCCTCTATCACTGGATGGAACCCCAGATACAATGCTGATTAGAAGTGAAGTGAGTCAGGCACAGAAAGAGAAATATCACATGTTCTCACTTATTTGTGGGAGCTAA